TATATATGTGTGTGTGTGTGTGTGAGTGTAAATATTTTGTTTGCTCACTAAAAACCCAATACAGTAGTCCCTTGTTTACCACTGGGGTCAATACCCTGAAGCCCCGCGATAAGTGAAAAACCGCAAAGAAGGAATATTAGTACAAGTAGTAAGTAGTTGTTTATTGTATTATTTATATATATATTTATATATAAATGCATTTTAAACCCTTCCCACATTCATGCAATATTCTAAATAAAAAATTCTAAATTCTAAACACTCTAAAAGAGCACAGAATGTCATGATTTAAGTTCTCTGCCTCCTCTGCTCTTTGCCACCTGCAAAACGCTCTTGGCCCCGCCCACTTCTACGCTGCACGGTGAACACCTGATCAGCTGCAGCAGGATGTTGATCCTGCCATGTGGGTTGTACAAAGCTGCAGGAGGAAGCTTTTTCTGTAGCTCTGGGCTGCACAAATGTGCAGCAGGTGCTAAATAATTTTAAATAATTCATTTTAAATAAAAATTCCATGATGATCGTGTGGCTCATCCATCAATCAGCCAGTTGCGTGTCCTGTCCTTATTTTGAACAACCGCAATAGAGCGAGTCTGCGCAAAACAAACCGCAAAGTAGCGAGGGACAACTGCAATCTCAAACTACAGTAAATTAAGGCTGACATAAAAACAGAAGATCGGAAGAAAAAAATACAATAGCCATTGAGTTTGTTACATTAGTCGTAGTTTGTTCAACTCTAAATCTGTTTAGAGAACAAAAACAAAAAGATAAAGAAACTCAACACTGACTAGTTGTAACGTGCACTTTAAAAAAAAAAAAAAAACAAGGCTTTTTTTTGAAGCACCAGTCATTTCATTTATGTACATCTTTGTGTTTCTGTATATCATTCAGCCTTTATTTATACAGGTAAATCCCATTGAGCCTCGAGGACTCATTTACAAGAGAGACCTGATTTCAACAAAGAAAGATGACAACAATGGACAACAGCAACAACAATAAGCAGTTATAAAAACTCATACTACAGATTTTCATCTGTATATGATTTCATGTTTTGACTCACATTTCTTGGCTTGTTCCCATTGCCATTTCAAAAGATCCCATAAAATATTCACTAAATAAAACTGTTCATGCTTGAATAAACTAGCTGTAAATAGCAAAACTGCATTTATTGATGTTCATTCATAAAACACCCTTTAATTATTTATATTGGCCTAAATTAATTAACATGCAATCACTTTTTAAACCACTTGAAGTGATGACAAAACATACACAACAGCTCACACTACATGAAACTGAGCTATGGTCTCTTAAAATGATTGCCTGACTCTGTACAAGGATTGTGCCACTATTCATATTTTGCAGTGTGTCTACTTTAAATCATTGTTTTCTGGTTCTAGATGGAGCTCAGAGTAAAAATAGTTCTGTAGGAACTTGGTAAGGACTGTAGCAACAGTCATGTTTGTGTTTGTTCACCGCAGCTGTGAGTCAACAGCACCGTCAGTGATCCTTCTACTGAAGCCGAGGCCGTGCCTTGGTTCCATTAAACAACCGCTTGTTTACACATGGAAATAAAGTGCTTTAGAAAAATAGTCCAGACTGGTCGCCTTAAAGTCTATGATAAAGTATTTTAATTTATTCTACTTTCTAATCACTTGAGATTTACGGTACTTGAAATATCAATACAGCGGTTGTTACAAAACCTAAATGAATGTTTTTACCAATAATTGAAGTTTCTTTTTTTTTTACCAGTCAAGTCTTTTTGTTTTATGTTTGCCCATTCAGACCGCGTGTCCCTTTATGGTTTAAGACTGATTCAGTCCACATTCTTAAAACACACAAACACAACACATGAATGCAAGTAACTTCAAAATAAAAGCTGACGGTTTGAATGTTTCTTCACTTCTCAGAGGCTGAGAGTGAAAATTGTTTTGGGGACACAAGTTTATATTTTCTAAAACGGCTCTCAGGTTTTTCGAGTTACACAACAAAAACAACTTAACAAAAAGTGAGAACAAACCAAGTTCTTGTGCTAAACAACTACACGTAAGTATGAAAATGTAACATCTTGGCCTGGGCCTGCGTGGACTTTGTGTGCACGTGTGGGTTTGTCTGTGCAGAAATAGTGAGGAGGGATTACACCGTCACTGAGGGCAAGTACTCCGAGCTCTCTGGGGGGAATCCGTGAAATGAGCGGCTGAGGGTGCATTTTAAAATGACCACGCAGCATTTCCAAAGAGGTAAGTGTGCTTTAAAGCACGTGTGTGTGTTGCCAAACTGAACCTTTATCTCTTTAATGAACAAATGATGCGCAACAACGCTGACACAAGCTGATTATTTGTGTGTGTGCAGAGCTCTGGTGTCAGAGACTCAGGGTTGAGTATAAAGCACATCAAACCAAACATTTGCACAAACAGTAAAAAAAAAACAAAAAAAAAAAACTAAATTGATCGTGAAACTGACAATTCAGTCATTTGACTTTGTTATAACATAAAAGCAGGCTTTAGATGAGACCCGAACATCCATTAGGACAAGAAGATTAAAGGGAGCTCACAAAGTCAAGGCTTCACTCAGTTTGTCAAAACAAAGAGAACACTTTGTGCACCACAGAAGCTCAACAATCACATTCCCCATCGCTCAAATCTTACTTGAAAGCACTGATTAGTTTAGACTGCATCAAACAAGACAGATATTTTAGCTTTACTCTTGAAATCAGTGAACTGTCTACAGAGCTTTTGGTGCTAAAGATGTGTTCACTGATTATAAAGCACAAACGTTCAGGAAAGTGAGCAATGAGCTCCCTGTGGCTAGTTGTTCAGCAAGGTTTGGATGAACACGAAATAAATGGTTCAGACAATAAAGTGGACTTTACAGGACTCTGGAGTGTAAATGCATCACGGGGTATCAAGCAAATCAGTCAAAACACCCACAGACTGTTGTTGGCGTGCAACGACAAAGACTGTTAGACACAGACAGGTTCAAGAGTTTCACAGTAAAAACAACAACACGGTTATCTGCTTGCACTCAAGAGTGAATTACCTGCGAAAAGCTGGATGACATAACTTTCTGCAATTTACACTACAAGACAGGAGAAAGATGTGCTGATGAGAAGAGGTAAAATATTAGAAATGTGAGATTTTTAGGAATAGATCATGTCATATTTAGTCTTGGACATCTTAAAAATCTAAATGACTACAGTGTGCTTGTCAGTTCAACTGTTTTAGCTATTTAAATCAAAGGAATAATAAAAAAAAATCATTTTCAAGTTGGCTAGACTGAAATAGCAGAATTTGCTTAACCTCCTTTAAAATGCTGCTGTGGACTAGTACAAGGACTGCTGTTGAATTTAAATATGTGAAAATCAGAGAAAATGAGGTGTCAAGTGAACTTTGTGGAACAGCAATACAAAAACAGTTCTGTTCATGTAAAAAGTAAATGTTTGTGAAACTGTAACAAGTTGATCACTGAGATAAACCAAAAAATATCTTTTAGTCAGAGTGTAGGCTGCAAAACTAGAGGATGTTATTTCCAATAATGAAGAGGGTTTTGAAAACATTAGCATGTAGACAGCAAAATGGAAGTCCATTAGCAAGTTCATACAAACAAACAGCATGGACAGAGAAAAATGTGCAGTAAAAGCAAATATCAGTTACAGGTGTCATTAGGGACAAAAATGACTACATGTCAGAAAAAGAGGTAAAGGACTTAAGTAGACTTCAAAGCACAAACAGGCATTTGTGGCAAGAGTAAAGAGAGCGACCATTATTTTAAAAACCCTCTTCACTATAAGAAATAAATGGATGAGTGCTTAGTTGAGAAGCAAAGACCCAATAAATCACAAAATACACACATTAAACCAACATCATGCAAAAACAGATGATGAAAAATTAATATTTACATAGTGTTGAGTCAGAGGTCCAACATTTAATTTACACTTATGTTTGTAAACAAATTAACTTATGAATTACGTCTACCCCAAGAGAGCCATTCTTCCTTTGGTTCCTCTCTAATGGTTTACAAACACTTCCAATAAAAATGTTTCATCCATCCATGCATCCATCGTTCCATCCATCTATTGCTCAATTCATTGTTCCATCCATCCATTGTTCCATCATCCATTGTTCCATTGTTCCATCCATCTATCCATCCATCTATCCATCCATTCATCGTTTCATCCATCTATCGCTCGAGCCATTGTTCCATCCATCCATTGCTCCATCGTTCCATTCATCCATCCATCCATCCATCCATCCATCCATCCATCCATCATCCATCGTTCCATCCATCTATCACTTGAGCCATTGTTCTATCCATCTGTCCATCCATCGTTCCATCCTCCATCCATCTTGGGGGCCGGAATGGTGTAGAGGCAGGGCAGCCAACTCGAGAACCGAAAGTCCCAGGTTCGATCCCCAGTCATTGCACATCTCGGGGCCGAGATGGTGTAGAGGCAGGGCAGCCGGCTTGGGACCCGAAAGTCCCAGGTTTGATCCCCAGTCACTGCACATCACGTGGCGTCTCTGGGCAGCACGCCTCACCCCCAAAATGTCCCCCGGGCGCTTTCAATAGCTGCCCACTGCACCACCTGGTGGTGGATGGGTTAAATGCAGAAACTAATTTCGCCATTGTATGGAAACATACAGTGCTGACATTGTGATGACATTATTATTATTATTATTATCTCTTGGTGTCTCTGAGCAGCACACCCTATCCCAAATTGTTCCCCAGGTGCTTTCAATAGCTGCTCACTGCTCCACCTGGGGATGGATGGATTAAATGCAAAGAGCCAATTTTGCCATTGTATGGGAACATACAATGATGACAACACATAACACCTTATTATTATCCATTCATCCCATTCCATCTAACATTTTGTTCTTCAGTTGATATAAAATGATACCAGAGTTTATATTTCACATTTTTGGGCCATATATAAAGTGGTTTTGTCCAACAAATGAATGACAATGTATATTTTGTTTGTTTTCCCCTTGGTTCTTTACACAGCTGCCTACTGCCTGATATTATTATTTTTTTTTAAATCAATATTTATTTGTAAATATTTTTTACTGCAAATTGTAATTGGTAATTTTTTAATATTATGATTGGATTAAAATTGGTTAAAAAAATCTACTGCATGTTGAACCTCCAATTTCAGGTGGCTGATCTATTTGAGAAGTGAAGTGTGTCCATCACAACTGGGCCTCGTCTCTCCTGCCAAACGTCACACACAAACACACACGCACGAACGCACGCATGCACGAACGCACGCACACACACACACACACGGATAAAACAGGTATCAGCTGCAAACGAAAATTGTTGTTAAAGAAAAACAAACTTGAATATTTTGTGTCGTTGATCCCCCTACCAAGGTCAGAAACCCAGGGAAGATACTGTATACACAACAATAAATATTTTAAAGTAAACAGTGTTGATATGGTTAATATATATTTACACCATCACATTTCCAACCTGCATTGAGGTGCCATGTTATGTCATTATGTTTGACCAAACAGATTTTAAACCTTACATAGAGAATGCCCGTTGTTCTACAGATGATCTTGTGTCTGACTAAAGATAGGCACAAACAGATACAATGATGACAGCAGAATGCTGAGACTAGCATTCACAGAGTGACCACAAGTCACGTAATGTATTGTGTTACATATTATAACTAGGGATGGGGCCGATCCAGTATTGGTATCGGCCTCCAATACCAGCATAATTTACGTATCGGATTTTTCCGATCCACGATGCATGTTGGCTTCAAACTACGGAATGGATTTTCTGAACGGCGGCGTGTCTCATGAGCCCAGAGTAATAAGACCCGCCTCACGTTCAGGAAATCCATTTCATAGTTTGCAGCCAGCTACAACGTGAGGACTGAGTTAGCAGCACTGTGGCTAACGGCTAACAAACTTTTCGTCGAAACATGTCCGCTGTGTGGAAGTATTTTACACTAGAAACACACAAAACAAGACACATCGTGCAATGTCTGCAGAGCCATAGCGCCACATTAAACCGTGGTAAAGTTAGTTTTACGATGGACATTCGAGCTCTGTTGCTTCAGCGGGGCGCTGCTCTTTGGTCAAACCGAAAGAGGCGACTCGACACCGGCCAGCCGCGTCCAATCTGTCCCGCTCAGTCTTCCCGTCTCCGAGGTGGGACAGACTGAGCGCAGCTGCCCCAAATCAGGCTGCCTGCTTCGGATTGAACAAGAAGAAGACATCACTGAAACCACGGAGCTGTAATGTTTACAGAGACTTCATCATGATTCATGACCAACCACTATCAGTTGTAGAAAACGAAAGGTTTCACAGTTTGATACTTGCAGTCAAGATATAGTTTACCCTCCAGGAGATATTTATCAGTACAACAGTAGACAATCATCAAAAAAGTCTCCCCACCATCACAGACATCTACACCTCCAGATGCAGGAAGAGGGCCACCTGCATCATGAAGGACCCCACCCACCCAGCACACACACTTTTTGCCCCACTCCCCTCAGGAAGGAGGTTAAGGAGCATTAAGTGTAGAACCACTAGACTGAGGAACAGCTTCTACCCTGAGGCTGTTAGACTCATGAATCTCTAACTAGAATAATCACTGTGAAAAACCATATCATGTTGCTGCTGATCTGTTTCATGTTGCTGCTGATCTGTTTCAATGTTGATGTGTTCATGCGTGCACATCTGCTCACAGACTCATGTTCATGTTTGTGGTGATGTTCAATGTTTTATGTTATGAGTGCTTAGTGTATATTTAGTTGATGTTTTTCTTAGTTCATATCTTAGATGTTATTACTGTTTTTCTTATACATTTTATTGTTGGATGTAACTGGGACCTTGTGTACATAATTTCGCTCCACCACATGTACCACATGAGGTGCGGATGACAATAAAGAAACTCTGACTCTGACTCTCTGACTCTGGTTTGAAAATTATATATATTAAAAACATAAACAGCTACATTATAAAGTGATGTAAAATACTAAAAACAGGAACATGTCTGTTGGTTTATGCATGAACTTAGCAGATGTTTGAAGCCATTTAACATTTTATTTAATTTAATTCATTCATTTAAAAGAAACAAAATTTAAATAAAAAAATCATGAAAAAGAAAACATTGAATGACAAATGTGCAGAAAGAAGAAAAAAAATTATTATATCTGCCCCTTATTTAAAAAAATATAAAATAACTTTAAACAATCACTTAAATTAATCACTTTAATATCCACTTTAAAGCTAGGAATAAAAAGAAACATGTTTTGTGATAGCAAAATTTAATTCTAGCTTTAAAATTTATCCAACATTAATACAACTTACCTCAAGTTGCCTTTTTGGACATGCATGCATATATTTGTACAAATTGTACTTGAGAGGAGATTATTACAGCCTCGTGTAAAATCAATGATGATCATGATATCGGAACTGGATCGGTATCATTTGATATTTAGATTTAGGGATCGGATCGGATCGGAAGTTTAAAAAACTGGATCGGTGCATCCCTAATCATAACACAGCACAGTAAAAGTAACAATAATGTATGGAGCGTGTAAGGTATGTCCTCTTTTGATGGTCTGAGAGAGAGCAGTTTCACAATAACAACAAGGAGGAAAGACGGATTATGTTGTGAAGCCTCACAACTTTATGTCTCTAAATGCCACAAAACTGAACACTGAAGTGAAACATGTGTGTCAGAAGGCACATGTTTAATGTTCTGTGTAGCTGGTCTGAGACGTTTTGCTTACATCTAAAATTTTCTACCAGTTTGACTGAAACACTCCCTTATTGTTTATTTGACTTGAACACAAGCCCTAAAAAGAATGGCTGTTTTTATAATCTGCTTTATAACTAATCTATCACCAGATATGAAATATTCACATTTCCTGTTTAGGGCTAGAGTTTTTTAAAAATATGTTACACTATATCTTAAGGTGGTTTGAGTGAACACTATTTATGTTGTGCAAGAGTGAAGGTTAGAATTACAAAGCAAACTGAAGTAAAAATCTGTTTTGGATGTCTTTAAAGACCAGAGCTGATTAAGCAGAGCTTTTCAGTCGGGCCTTCTTAACCTTTTGGCATCTTAAATCTGTCTTTGCCTTCTATTACTCATCCAGGATGAGGATTTTCTCCCAATTTCTTACTCTTTTCTTTTTTACTAAAACACAGTGACTGCAATAAACATGGGTTTTGACCTCTAGTGCATCTCTTATTTTTAGTTATTATTATTATTAATTGACCTTATTTCCAACCTTTTACAAGGTATACATACCTTTTACCTTTTTTTTTTTACCTTTTATAAATGTACCTGTTTTTATTATTATTATTACTTATTTACCTTTTTCAAACTACATGGGAGATAAGCTTCCACGTTTTAAATTAGATATCATCTTGCACTGGCATGTTGTGCTTCGTAGTGTGAAAAACAGCAGAAATGTGAGAGCAGCACGAGGAGGAGAGGAATGTGTCAAGAAAGTGCAGTGTGGCCGTTTGCTTTCAACAAGCTACTCTTCAACCATCTTTTGATTATTAAATATCTTCTGAAGAAAACACTGCTTTGTGAACTTTAGAGGCAATACATTTCACCAAAAGTTCACTTCAGTATGATTTAGATCAATAAGTATTTGGACTTTCAAACCACACCAGAAAGAAAAGCCTCAAGTGAAACAACCCTCCACCAGCCTGCCATGATTTCAGACTCAAGAATGATTTTTATATCTCGAAGCAGGGTATGTTTTTAATTAACTAATTAACGAAGCTAAGCGTGATGCAATGGCATAGCCTCTGTGCAATGAACCAAGATTGTGGAAGATCAGTTATGGCAAATACTTTTGAGGTGATTGAGAAACCGATTCGAGCTCATTCATGTTGCACAACATGAAGCTAAGATGTTGGAATGAAACATTAAAGCTTACTTTACTGGCATGGTGTGGGATGTGATGCAAACAATTCAGTGTGTGCATGATTAGGAAGCCAACAAACTAGAACTGAGAAATGCGTGTAAATGGAAACTTTGGTTGTAGCTGCAAATGTGTTTTCTTCTTTACTGTGATGGGTCCTTTGTCAAACTGATATTGTCTTTGTCTTGCTACGTTAAATAGTTAATCAGTAAACCAGCAAGCAGGAATGTTGGTAATACTGATGTGGAAACAAACAAGTCTAGTCTAACGTTTTTTTAATTAGAGCTGAAAGGCAGCTGGTCTTCCACACCAGTTATGTGACATGTGCTAAAAGCTTAACAGAGAGCAGTGTAGATGAACCAACAAACAAAAAGAACTAACAGGACATTAAATGGCTATGAAGTTAAGTTCAGGTCAAAATGTAAATCACTGCACCTGAAGTATACATGAAAGAAGGATTATTTCTGCCTGTCACCAAGGACCACATCGATTACCGGTATGTTCATTATCCTGTGTGCGTGTCTGTCATGTTAGCAAAACATCTCATGAACCACTGGACTGATTGTATTAAAACTCCAAGAAAGTAAGCACTGGATGTAGAGATACAACTGAGAAATCTTTGATCTTACAAAAACACAGTTGTCAGTATCTCAGTCAATTTGACAAATATTATGCTAAAATTAGATGCAGTAATAGCTGAAAGTCATCCTCAACATTTAATCCAAATACTAACATTTCATGAGGTTGGGCATAATACCATTTTAGTTCCCAAGATTGGTAATCTAATCTTAGATCAACACTTTATCATAAAAGACGGCAAGCAATACGTATTTCTTCAAATAATGCTAGGTTTTTAATTATTATAGTTTTATTGTTTTTTATTGAGTTTTTAATGCCTGCTATAGGAACTGATATTAAAAATCCTACCTTGGCAGATGTAAAGAATATCAATAATGTTATAAAGTAGATAAAATCTCTTTAATAACATGACAATCATAAGAAGAATTTTTAAATGGTGTTATCCTTTGGTTAGAAGCACAACTCAACTATTTTCTTTTAAAAAAAAAAAGATCTTGGAGTTAGATAACAAAGATGATGAGAGGAATCTTAAATTGGAAAGCGCAAAACTGCATACTGAGGATGACAAGGTAACAACTCACACAATGTTTCCAGCATATAACGTTTCAGCAACATGCCGTAGAGCTGGAAAATGCTACCCAGCAGCATTTTAACAGCATAAACAAGTGACTTACTGTTCGTTGACGACAAAGATGCAGTTGTCTTGAGAGGGTAAGCCTGAGACAGGATGTTTGCAGGTCACCTTCCGCTCATTGTGACTATTGAGAATAGAGAAAGAAATGACGAGAAAAGGCATTTATTTTTAACAATGCATAAATATATCGAAATAGGCTCATAATTGACATGCAATTAGCAAGAAAAGCTAAAATATTTTACTTTGCATGTTTGTGTTAGTTGAGTAGTGATGAGTAGACAGATCAGATACACAACTTCAGTAGACGTCCTAGTAAAATGTGCTACAAAGTATGCAGACGATAATTGATAGTGCCCAACCAATATATTGGGCTGATATTTTAGGCCAATATAGGCATCTGGGGACATATCAGTATTGGTAATAACTGTCTCACTATGTGTCGATATAAACACTTCTAATTTTCACCCCTAAAATGCTGGAACCAGCTGTAATTGCACAATGTATCCAGCAGAGGGTGCATGAAGACTACTTTCAAGTCATGGCCGTTCACTTAAGTTTCACTTTCACATTCAGCACAGCCCAAGCAGAGAGCAATACTGTGCAGAGTGTGTTGCTGAACAGAGCATGGAAGGTTTATTTCAACTTAAATGTAAAACAAATCAACAGTAATAAATTTTCTTCATCGTCCAACCCGCTTGTCATTAGCTACGCACCTTTCAACTTAGCAAGCTAACATTTAGAAAACCTAGCATAGGCTATTGCCTTGTAAAACTTTATCCAGAACAATAAATCTAATGCAGTGGTAAATATACATCAGTGTTAGTAACATATCTTTGTCGTCCTCCATGAAATGCATTGTCTGAAATTTTTACTTTTCTGCAAAGAAAAAAAACCTCTACTGCATCAATACTAATTAGACCTTCACTGTACATGAATGACTGTTTAAACCAGGGGTGTCAAACTCACAAAAGGGGGCCAAAATTAAAACCTTTTTCAAACTAAGGGCCAATTTCAGAAACTACATTAACTCCAATCAGATACCCGACATATTTTCTTGGTCACAGGGTCCTCAACAAGAGTTTGATTGGTCTCATTTGATGTTCTCTGTTGTGCTTTTGACATCATAATCAATGATTACTGAGAAAAATAAAGAAACAGAAGTATTTTACATTTCACATATCATCTTGGAGGCAATATAAGATGTCAACGAGGGCCACAGTTGGCCCCTGGGCCTTGAGTTTGACACGTATGGTTTAAACAATGAATAGGGTAGGGCATTTCTTTAATTTATAGTTTCGCAACACACTTGATAACTTTATGGTGAAAAGTGGAGGAAAGAAAATGTGAATGCATGGTAGGATGACTGTTTTTATGACCAGTGCACCATTTGTATGTAGCATGGATCAGATTTGCTTAGCTTCGTGGTTGCCAACAGCTGTGCATAATAAACAAGCCACACTCCACTTATTTATTTAGATTATTGGGGGTGGACAAAGCTCAAAAATGTTCTGCCATTATATCTAACAACATTAGCCTTCCCCTTCCCAGTATCATATCAATGATAGCCAAAATTTCCATATCGGTCGGTCTCTACTAATTGGTATGAGCAAAAATAAATAAAATATATCTAAACAAATTTTTTACCTAATCCTATAGTACATGTCTGCGGTCTGCAAAGTTCTGCAGTCTTTGCTGTTCTACACAGAACATCTAATGACAGAGGTAGAGAAGATGCTACCCTCCCACCCTGTGAGCCAATTACAGCAGCCAACAATCACATCCACCCTGCCATTATTAGAACACCAGGATACAGATCTCACTGCCATAAGATGGAAGAAATCAGCAACAGCTTTCTACTAAATTAAAGGCTGTCCAGTGCTGGTGTGCTGCATGTGGATATTCTGGAGGGATGGAAGGGTCAATATGCTGAACTTTCCTGCAAAAACGAGGAGTATTGCTGTTTTTCAATAAAATTGTTAAAAGCAAAAGAGATTTTATATGGTTCCACTTCCTAAATAAAGGTTTTACTTTATTAGTCTGTAGACAATTCAATATCTACTAAGCTATCACGGATCCACAAGAAGAAAAGGTTACTTATTTGTACAGCAAATTGATCAGATTTATTAATAAATACAGACAGTAAGCAAGACAAAAGAAAACGTGCATGAAGGGAAGAGCTGGAATCTATTCAGAGTTACTTACTCTACAGCTAGTCTGTACTTAAGGAATAACCAGAAGTGACTATAGATGCAGCCCAAAAATAACAGTTTTTAAACATGGGGTACTCATTTACTGAAAAGACCAAATACCAAGGATGGAATGGGGGTTTTAGTTTCAGTTAAGCCTGAAGAGAAATGGCCTCCAAAGCTCTGGTCTATAATTACTGGAGGCAGTGCTGGCAGAAGAGCACACTGTGCGGTCTTGGGGCAAAACGATGGCACCATATTTCTCTGGTATCCCTTACACATGCTTATACTGTAGCTCACTGAAACAGAGTTAGGCTTTAAAAAGAACAAGGAAAGCCTTGATATACAGTTTATTTGTGTACTTGACAGTGGGATGTCAAATAAAGCATTACAAATACCTTTGCATATTTGTGTCATTCCCGTAACTCCATAACACTGGTTAATTTGTATGAAGTTAAGTTACAGACATGAAGGTGCAAAGGTTTTTTTGCAAGCTGTATACAGTTTTATTTAGCATCCCCCCCACAAAAAACAACAAAAAAAAATCAACCTTTTTGTAGTATTATCAGTCAGCATTGAATTACTGTGTGTATTAAAGAACTGCAATAAATAAAATTAAATCTAGCAGTAAATCAATAAACATTCAGATGATCTGTTCAGCTTTCAGCAGCTTTCTGTCCGTTCTGGTTTAGTTTCATATACTGAAAACACATCAAGCTCTGGGTGACGGTACTGCAACCGTTTCTGTACAGCCTTATACACGTCAATTGTACACAAGTTGCTGAGTCAAACCTGGACAAGTCAAAACATACCCAGATGGGTTTTTTAGAAGAATGGAGACCAAGCCAATAAACATACACAAGCCAACAGTGACAGTCCCTGCTCAGTCTTAAATAACAGGGTTCCAGTGTGAAGCCCACGGTGCTCTGCTACTTTTCTACAGTAAGGAACAGTAATGAGGCTTTCAGACACGATGTGACAACAAGGAGACTGCCCATTGTTTCTAGCAGCTTATGTCATGACCGTTTGCAATTTTTTCAATTCATTCAACCTTTCCCTATACAGGTCAATCCCATTGAGCATGGTCCCACTCAACCAGCTTCAAAGCTTGGTTACCCTCCATGCTTGGACAAATGGCCACATGAGCAACAGAAGATAAAAAAGGTTGGCACAGAAGATAAGACTGAGGAAAATATTACGTGTCTGAACTCTTTATTTTACACAAGACAAACTGATGGTTGTATCAACATCTTTGAGGAAACATTTAAATTAAGATTAAGCCAAGTTATTTATAAAACTAAATATGCAATGTGGGCCCTAAAACTTAATTAGCCATTTTAGGCAGGAAATATGATGTGGTAACACATGAATTATGCACAGTGACAGTGTAGGAAAATGTCCTTGTTTGTTATCTCATTCAGCAGCAAGAAAAGCACAAACTGTACATTGTGGCTCAGAGGGCATTCAACAGGTATTAGCTAAAATCCTCCTCACATAAATAATGTTATTAACTTGCTTTTTATGTATATGAATGTTTTTGTTCAGGGCCCTGAGATGACCTGTTGTGACTTAGTGCTATATAAATAAACTGAATTGAATTACATTTAAAAAGGGAAACAGAATTAACAGCTAAGGCAAAAAAACACAATGACCCTTTTCATTGGCAACAGAAAACTATATTTTAATTGTGTTCTCCAGTCCTGGTTTGACATGACCTCAGTTCATTTACCTCTAGAGACATAAGGAGTGCTTATCTCAAGACGTCTCGGTGCAAAATGTGGGGTAAACCTGGGACAGGTCGCCAGTCCATCACCACCTATCTTGTGACACTCATCTCTCACAACAATTTAGAGTAGCCGCTTAACCTTCAGTGGTGCTTGAAAGTTTGTGAACCCTTTAAAATTTTCTATATTTGATAATAAATAATGAATTCTGAATTAGTTCAGAAAATTCTAAAGGAAAATGACAAGACATCTGTAAATAAAATCCTTGCTAATAAATCAATTAAACAAGGACAAGAGTGCAAGACGAACAGCAGCAACATCCATTTCACCGTTTTCATTTGATCTGCACCTTTGTTTTTTGTTTTTTTATCTCATACCAATATGGGAAAATATCCAGTCTTTTGTTTTTATTTGTTTGTGTAATTTGCTTTTTGGAACTCACCTCAAGAATCCCCACTTGGTGGTTCACAGCAGGATCCTACTCCCTTAATTTGGGAACTGCTGAATTATTCATTTTGTTGTTTAATTAAAAAAACAGGACTTACGTGATGCAGAAGTTGTACAACTTTCTTCAGCTGTTAGTAGCAACTGTTTTTTTTTTTTTTAGCTTAATCACTCAATTTGATAATTGATGCATGGTTTAGTTTCTAAAGGATACAACATGGTCGGTGAAAGGATGAAGCAACAACTGATAGAAGAGAAAAAAAAAACTTTTATAAATCTGAAGTACATGTAACATCCTCATCTGATACAGCAGTGGGACTGTGAAGCCCCATCACTGAAAATGTAGAAACTCTGAGGTCATGGCTAAAAGCTCCCAACTTAAACAATCCATCAAAATGGCACATGTGTATAAATCTGAGTTTATTTAGTTGATGGAAAGCTAAAAGACTGACACACTTTTCTTGAAAAGTTTGCACACTTGAGTTTATTCCAGAGGCTTTGGGGGCAGAAAACTGGTGTTTGTTTATAAACTCTTATTAAGAAAGATAACACCTGGGACAATTCATTTTATTTAAGAATAAGATGGCTAAAATGAAATAAATTAATTCTGATCCATGCAACTGCAATTACAAACCATCTCGTCAGTGCACCATCGGGTCAGTGCTGTGTGGCATTAGTCTTAGCTGCATGACAAGTGCAAAAATAGTTTGGCTTCTGAGTTCATCATGAAGAACTGTGAATTTATAATACACCTTTGTTTTGCAGTAATT